AAGACGGTCATGAAGCTAAATTCCTCTCCCCGCGCCACCCCCCAACCCCCCGGTTTGTTTCAAGTACTTCCGTCTTCCCTCATCCTCCAACTTGCTCTTTGTATTCTATGATCATCCAAAATCTTTTTCCAAGCCTCTTCTCATTCTTTGCTGTCTATCTGTCACTCTGAGTATGTTTCTCTGGTCACTGCTGAGGACTGTTGGTACCCTTTTTCCTTCTGCATAATATCTGTACTTTTGAGCTGCTTTGCAGTGCCACTGTCCTCCCTTTCAAAAGATCATCATCCTAACTTCTGTATTCAACTCTGGAGCCAGTGTGGTGTTTTCTCCAAGGCCTGATGCGTGTTTTCTTGTGTTCTTCAGGATACATCTAATAGATCAGTTCAATACAGATATGGGTATATTTGTATTCCTCCTGTCAACTAAAGCTGGTGGCTTGGGAATTAATCTGACCTCAGCAAATGTTGTTATTCTTCATGACATTGATTGCAACCCATACAATGATAAGCAAGCAGAAGACCGATGCCATAGAGTAGGTCAGACAAGGTAAGACTTCTTAATTATAATGCTTGGCTTTTCTTGGAGGCAAGCTCTCAAAGGAGGCTAAAAGGACAATATTTTATGATTAAAAATTCCATTGTAAGCAGAGACTTGTGTAAACCAGCTCTGGGTTGTGTGGGAGCTAGGTAATAGTAATTGTCTTAGCACATGTTGCTGCCAGAACAAACCTTATTTACATTCTCCTCCATTTTCCAGTTCTCTATAACTCTCAAATTCTCTGTAATTCTCAAATTTCTGGTGCTAGGAACCATGTCAAGGCAGACTGAAGTCTTTGGGACTGTTTGGCAAAGCTGTTTGTTCTCTTCAGGAGACTTTAAAGCTCTGAAGTGCCACCCTATCATAAAGAGTGAAACCATGGACTGTTTTAAAGTCCTCCATCAGAATAAGCTAACGTGAGGAATAGGATATGTTTAATAACTGGTATTTCAACTGTAGTATGGGATGAGGGGGAAGTTGAGTTGTTTCTATTAATGGAGATTTCTGTGACCGTCCAGACTTCGTGGTGGCTGGCAGTGCAGGAGAAAACAAGTTTCCTGGCAGCACAGGGCACAGTTGGTCCAGACAGGAAAACTAGAAGCTCTTTGTATTGCCCTCTTGTTCATTTCCTCCTTCTGGTTTTAAACCACTGCATGCTGAGCGAAGGCATAGCATCCTTCCCTTTTGCACTAATCCAAAGAAACGATATAAATGGATTTATCCTATTTTGTGGGTTTCAGAGAAGTAAAAGTCATAAAGCTAATCAGTAAGGGGACTATTGAAGAATCCATGCTCAAAATCAGCCAGCAAAAACTGAAGTTAGAACAAGATATGACTGCAGCAGATTCAGGTAAGTCCCTTGCACGTAATGATGTCCACTTAAGTGAATTAAGGTTGCTGCAATATATTATTCTGAAAAAACAAGGTTCTTGATGCAGACAAGCCTTTTTTCTTTTCCGTGTTAAATAAACTAGAAAGATGTATTTGTGCCAATTATTGTTCGGTTCGACAGGAAGTGCCCTCTGAGTCTGACCCATAAATCAATGACAGGCTCCTACAAGTAGAGGATTTTGTACAGTTTGGGGGATCTAGACTTTTGTCTGTTTACGTGAAATATTTTGAGCTGTACTAACGCTTGTTTTTATTCCTCAGGAGAAGAAGGAACCATTCCAGCAGATATAGCCACACTATTAAAAGCTTCATTAGGTCTCTAAAATGTAAATATGTTGTGGAATTCAAGGAAGAAAGGTGATGTTGTACCCCAAGGACTCTTACGTTACTGATGACCATGAGTTTTATGAACATTTATAACTTTTTGTAGTTTCTTTATCGTATTCCTCATGGTATTGAAGATTTTTAACACCAATGGCATTCTTTTGATGCTTAAAAACATAAATGGCCCAAATGTGCCGACATCGGATGCTGAATAAACATTATTTTACAGATCACTTTTCAAACCGTGGACCTAAGTAGTAATTGTTTTAACAAATCTGCTACTGCTTAAGATTTGTCAGTATTTTTGTAATTATTTCTACCTCCAAATATATATATAAACCGTCTGTTTCACTGGATTACATGTGTAGATTTTTTTATATGTGCCTTATTTGACAATGCTCGAGTCTGTTTCTGCTTGTTTTGGTTCATTTGATGTACTGGTTTTGTATCAACTTGTTCAAATAAAATTGCATAGATTAACAAAATGTTGTCATTTTGTGGTTATTTGGGGGAGGGGGGTGTGATAACTTGCGTGTTCTAAGTCAAATAGGCAGCTTTCAAACTAGCTGAAATGTTCCATTTGAAGTGACTTGGCTTTATCCAGCAGTAGTTAATTACTAGTGTTTCATTATACTCTAATAACAATTGTGTTAGGATATTGGTTATAAAAACAGAATTCCTGCCAAATGGAACTTTCCACCCAGGTTGCAAGTTTTTTTGTCAGTCCTCGGTGTTGATACCAGATCTGCGCTCTGCCAGTGAAGTGCCCTGGACACAAAGCTTATGTCTTGCTCTCTTCTTGAAGTTTCAGTGAATTTTGAATTCATCTCAGTGAAATGAAGAGCTTCAGTGGTATCAATGATGAGGTGTGCCTCCACCTGAAGTTTTTAATCTGCTGGCAAGGATGTGATTTGAGGAGGTAGGAGAGGAGGATGTCCCTTTCCCTGGACAGAGGAAAAGACTGAAATTCGGTCTTTTGAACTCATAGTTAAGATTCAGACTGCTGCTTTTTTAGAAGCTGGAGGAAGGCAAAGAATGGGGAAGTCCTTATTGCCCCTGCCCTCTGTTAAAGCCTCAGCTGCTGTGTGCTCTGTGGAGAGCTCAGCAAATCTGTACCAGGCTGAATCTCTTGGAGGGCTGTGTCCTAGAATTCACACTGGTTTGCAATATGGGGTTGCTAGTTACCACTTTCCTATATCTGGTTATCACACTCAGAAGACACTTGTTGCATCTTTTGAAGGAACTTAAACAGTTTGATATTAAGAGTAGGGAAGAGGAGCTGGAGTCCATGGGTTGCTCAGTATTTCACCCTGTCTTCAGATACTGCTAGTGATGAGTCAGTGAGGTGATCTGTGAGTTGGGCATTGGTTTTTTTGGTTTGGTTATGGCTGCGAGTATTTTTTTCCAACTGTGCATGACTTCTGCAAGTACAAAATGGATGGAAAATGAAAACTTTTAAAATGTTTTTGAAGTTTGCACTACACTTTATGTGGCTTTTACTAGAAATCTTCCGTGGCTGTGCTACACATTCCAAAATGCACAGCTGAAATAGGGTGAAGAAATACTTTATTATATGGGAAGGGAGAAGGGTAAGAATCAGTTTGTCTACCATGCTTCTTTAATGCCACCTGTTTTGTTGGACTAAATAGTGGGATTTAACAGACAACCACAAGTGTTTAATGCTGCAGCTGATAAGGTTGTTTCTGCTGAGCGTGATCCTAGCCCAACTCTTGTCCCATTGTATTTGCATGTTCTCACCTGTTTGCTTCAAATGTGAAATGAAACAAAATGCCTGCCCTATAGGGTGGTTTGTGTGGTGTTTCGGTTTGGTATGTGCATGTAATCAGTTAATGTAGTCTGGCTGAGCAGTGGTTACTCCTTCAACAGTCACATCCCTTGACCCCTGGGGTCAATATCTGTCTTTAAGTGCTCTGAAGCTCGTATGTGTTTCTGCCTTTTTTTGTTTATTGTAACTGTTTCTACCATCTTTAATTGGGGGTCTTAAGAGATTATAGAGTCACCATCCTTGGAGACATTCAAAAGCCGTCTGGACACAGTCCTGGGCAGCTGGCTCTTGGTGGTCCTGCATGAGCAGGGGGTTTTGGACCGGATGACCTCCAGAGGTCCCTTCAATCTCAACCATTCTGTGATTCTGTGTCTCTATGTCTCTGGTTGGGAAAGATGTACGGGGGGAAAAAAACCCAACCAACTATCTGAAGTCTGTTGCTGAAGAGGAGAGTGGGAGGTGAAGAAGGAAAAATCTGTAAAGAGCTAGAACAAAGTGTGCAAGGAATTGCAAAGCAGATGGAGATACCATATTGGAATGAGCAAAAGATTGGACCTTGCTTTCAGTTCTGCCAATACCTGGTTTGTCTCTGAACTGTTAGTGGTTGGTTGGTGTCACTCATGATTCAATGAAATAATGCTTATGGTGGGAGGGAAAAGCAAGTGTGAAGGGAAATACTTTCCCGACGGTGGCCATTTTCAGCCCGGAGGATTGCCCAGGTTTGTTGTGGTTTATCTGCTTACACCACACAGTGGAGTCCTCTTGCAAGCACTTGTCTCCCGTTGAGTTTGTGTAAACCACTTGCATCTACAACTGTCCATGTTGCCGGGATTTCCACCTACCTGTTTTCCCCAATGCCGGAAGAACGAACTGTTTATTCATTTGTTCTAAACCTGGTTTCCACCCCTGCCACACCGCCCCCCAATTTGTGTCTCCTACTTACTGGAAGAGATAGTGAGCTGCTGAATGTTTTTGCAGCTGGTGTGCTTATGGAGAACTGGTGCTGGTGTGGGTACCAGCTCAGCTGGGCAGCTGCTTTTTGTTTTGGGTTTATTTGTTTGGTTGGGTTTTGTTGTTGTTTGTTGTTTTTTTTTTTCCAGTGGCACAGCATAAACTTCAAGAGGCTAAAGAAAGTGCTTGAGAAGCTTGACATTTGTTGACTAAGTGAGTCTTTTTTTTTCTTTTCTTTTTTGCTTAGTGTCCTTAGTCCTCCCACACATTTATCCTCTCTGTTAATTAGCCTGCTTTCCTCCAGATTGAAAGTCTACAATAAACAAAATATTGTTGAGATTGCATCTCTCCAGGAAGGTTTATTCATCTCTTCTCCCTTTGAGAGCCTGCAGAACATTAATTGGGTTGATCAAGCTCTTTATTTGTAGTGGGGGGAATGTGGTCGAAACCACACCTCTCCCTCAGGTGTCTACTCTACTAAATCAGCTTTTTAGATTCTCTCCTATAAATGGATACAAGTGGTAGATTTTGATTTGGTATAGCATACCCATCTGAAATTAACTTAAATGATTCTAACATTAATAACTTAGGATGCTTGTCATGTTGAAAACTAAACATGCATTTGTGTTTTCCAGTCTGAACAGCTGATCTACATTATAGTTTTCGGTCTTTTCTGGATCCAGGCTGCAATAGCTGGAAGTGCTTGCACTCTGCCTCTGAGAGCCAAAAGCCTGGGGTAGTTGTCTGCCAGGTCAGGTTTACAGGACAGAAGTGTCGTACTGCACACATCCCAGTAGAAATCAGCCCACGTTACCTGGTGGAAATGGGAGAGAAAGCAGTAAATTTTAGTTGGTAATCTCAAAAGCTGAGACTACTAATATTCTCGGCAAATTGCAGAAATGAAACATGAATTGATCTGTTTCGTGTAAGTTTTGTTGGGTTGTTTGGGTTTTTTTAAGCCTGTAATTACAGATCTAGTAAAAGCCCTTGCTACAAATATTGTGTTATACTATTAAACTTCCCTGCTGCAACTCTGCTGCAGAAAAGTGTTTTAATTAGTTTCCAGACAGTTTTGGGTAAAAAGGGGGATTGCAGAGTTCTAAACAACTGCCATCTGTATTGACTAGCACAAAAGCATTTATAATGTTTTGTGTCAACATACTTCTAAACTGGTTTTGAAAATGCAGGTCCTAGTCCTGGTATGCCTCACTTTTCTAACAGTATGGAAAACAATTTTCACTTTGCAATTGAGTGGCCAGTTGTGTATTGGTAAGAGCGAAGGGTTAAGGGTAAGAGCGAAGGTAAGAGTGGGGAGAGTTGTTTCGTGGGCTGGTATGAAATCCAGAAATTCAGCAATAGTCAATGATTTTATTTTTCCGGTAATCTGATTGGAATGGGAGAAGCAAAAATTATACTTACAGACTCCCCTACCAGCCAGTTGTTATCCCCTAAGAAAGTATCCAAATCTTTCAGTAACTCAGGTGCTTTGTTGGTGAGGATATCATCAAATGCTTGTTTCTGGGGGAAGAATGAAGCACAAAGATGCACACCAATGCGTAAGCACAGCAGCCAGCAAAACTGAATTTTTGGGGGTTTCTTATTTGTGAAAAAGAAAGCTGAAATCTGAAAAAGGTGGCAGTGAAATCATTTGGTCTGACCCAAACTTCACAGTACTCTTGGTTCTCTTTGGAAGAAGGCATGTGTTAACATCCAAATCAGGATTAATGTAGCAAACAGCAATTATTGAAGATAAGTAAAGAAATGCAGAGGTAACTGTCATTTGGATACGTGCGAAGGGGCACTATAGAATTTAGGAAAGCTGAGGTAATTGCCCATGAAGTGGGTTAGATGCCCAAAACACGGCTTTCGTGGCTCAGTGAGCCATGACTTAAGCCAATTGCTCCCTTAATGAACACCTGAGAGCTCCTGGATGCTGAGATACGATGTGTGGGGCGATGCTGCTCATTTATCTGTGCTAACAGCCACCCGGCCGTGGCAAGACGGGAGCCCTGCCATAGAGTGGGAAGAATCCATCTATAAAATATATTCCCAACGTTTCACGGTCATTTTTTTGGAACTCTTTTGGATGTTATGTTTTCTAGTGTACAGGGTCTCAAGTTTCCAGAATCCCTTAAGCTCAGTCTTTCCGCGCTGTCAGTCAGATGCCGGTCGGTTATCTTTCATTACCAGCCCTTCTCGTGTGAGATGTGGAACATGCGTTTTGAGCTTTTGCTGGGTTCATCTTTGAATTTTTATGTTAGCAGGTTATTCTGCTTTTTTGCCTCCGCAGCAATGAGATTTGAGGTGGTTAAAATACGTTTTTAAAGGCTGAAGTCTGCATTGAAGGGTATGGGCCTTAGTATTTGTATGTTAATGGATGAAGGATGAGGTGGTGTATGGTCGTGGTTCTCTGCCAGCTGTTCCCCATAGCAGAAAGTTTTAAGGCTGTTTTTAAAGGGTTATCTGTTTCCTTTGGAGAGGGAAACTGTTTCTGGTTTTCTCTTCTCACCTGCATGGAAGCAACTGAGATTGCAGACTGTTGTGATCATCTGGTCTGACCCATGTGGCACAGTTCGTGCCATTAATGTGCTTGGCCAAATTTTGGAGGAACATACTCAGGCTTGGTTAAATAAGCACTGCTATACAGGAATGGAATTATTTCAACAGCTTTGAAATTCAGGTTAATGAAAAAAGAATAAAATTTGGAAGAGGTAGCAGCCTAAATGGTCCCAAAAAATGCAGGCTGAAATAAAATCAGTTTTGCTGCAGACACGTTTGAAGATTTGACATCACTTTCTACTGTCTGTTAAGAGCTTAGTAACTGAATGTTGTGACTGCAAGTAACAGCCAGAAGTTTGCAGTACAGAAATTTCATATTTGTACCCTGTGCTGCAGCATTTTCTCCTTTTAGGTAAGTTCCCCTGCCTCCTCTGCAAAAAAAAAACCCCAAACTATTGTGTGATCATGATGGTAATGACCTCCCCCAACTACAGAAGTACACACTCAAGCTGTGAAGCTGGTGGGGGCATGACCAGGATCCACCTTCTGGAGTGGCACAACCTACTTGTCTCAACCCTGGAGCTCTCCAGCAATGCATGACAAAGCTTTTGCAAAGCCGGCTATTTTTTTGGGGAGGGTGTAGGGTGAAGGGAGAGTTTGTGCCTGGCACAGAGGGAGCTTCCATGGGCAGCTTCCACCTCTGCTCCCTTTACCTTGCTTGGTTTTCTCTTTGCTACAGACTAGATAGCATAACACATCCTTTCATCTTTCTTGGAGGGATGTGTGTTCCTGTAATCACCTGTCAGGCCTGGGGAAGTTTTCTGACTTTACTGTGTGTAAATTACCTAAATCTGGCCTTGTGAGATCATGAGATGCCACTTCTACCACAAGGTGGTGGCAGTGGACCCGGGAGGAGAGAGGGAGAACAGCGAATAGTGAGAAAAATGTTAAGAGATTCCCAGAAAGTAAGTTTCTCGATCTCCCGTGGTCCCAAAACACTCCCTTGCATGCATACGTGCATACAGGCAAATAAGGGTTGTCTGTGAACTCTCTTCCCTTTTAAATTAATCACTGGTGACATGATCTGGGTCCTGGTTATTTTGGAGAAGTGCTTGAGTACGAGCGTGAACACACGCAGGCGTTATCATGGGAGTTGGGAGTTTCCCTGTAAAGGACTAGCAGTACTATGGCAGTAGCGCTCTTCTACACTAACATGTTAGCAATAGTGTGGCTGTTTCCAAATGATTAAAAATCATGAGTCAACCTCCCCTCCCCAAATGAGGAAACTTCAGGAAATCACTAGGAGATTAAGTAATTCATGTTTTTGAATAGTAAAACCTCCAAATACACTTTCAGATTTTCCCCTGCAAGATTTCAGAGCACTTTCATATCGTTTCATTATTTATTATTGGTTTTGGTCAACGTTTTGTACTCTCTGGTTTCTGTAATAAGATACCCTAGTCTATCTGAAATGTTACCTTTGAATAAATGGAAGGCGGCTGCACTGGTAGTTAATGGTGAGACCTGTTGTTACGCTACCACTTTCCTAAAAGGGTCAGGTCATCTGCTTGGGTCAGAGCTGTGTGGAGCCATTGTAATGCCAGAGTTAACTCATCCATCACCCTCTTCCCCAGCAGCTGATCTGCATGCTTACATTTGGGGCTCTGGTGAGAGGGACTGGACTGATGCCAAAAAAAACCCCAAATGCTGTAGGACTTGCCCATGGCTGTGTGTTAAAGTAGCCATGGCAGCGTGTTAGCCTGGCATCAGTTTCTGCAGAAGGACCGCAGAGGACTGAGGTGGGGCCACAGGGATCTGAAGAGCGCGGCTGCAGTGACAGCGAGGGATGCGCTACCTCCCCTCTTCAGCACTGCCTGCTGTCCTACACCGCCCTGGTAATTGAAAAGCATTTGTCCCTGGCAGCTGATGTTATTGAAGATTGATACTTATTAAAAGCCAAGTAGAAGCCAAGATGCAGAAGGGCAAAAGGAAGATGGGATGGAGCTGTTAATCCTGTTCAGTTAGCAAAAAGAGAAAGATTTGCACTTATTCTGTTTGCAACAAGATACAGGTATTGCACAGTGCTGGCTGGGATGGAAGTGTCCTGTCTTTCCCCTTTGAAGAGCAGCTTGATGTATGCACGTATGGCATCCTTGATTCAAGGTGAACCAGCGAGGGGCGGCTCATGATGGCCTCATCATTGTTTCCACTGAGGGTGAAAAAAATCTGGTGAAGGAAGAGGTGGGAGGGAACAGAATGCCTCGGCTGTATTAGCCTGGAGGAAGAAGCACAGAGCTCCTCCAGCTCAGCTTTGCTGAGGTGAGGTGATGGACCCGGGGTTGGCACATGGCAATTTCTCCAGAGGACATGCTCAGGTACAGAGTCATGGCTTATGTGCTATCTTTGTTTAAATTACTGATTGTCTTACTCTCACGTCCTGGTTTTTCTCTGCCCAAGGGAACAGTGTCATGAAATCATCTATGGTGTCCACAATGGCATCAGCTAGTGCCTGTTCCACAGGCGTCTGACCTGCCAGACCTGTGGGAAACAAGCATATGAAGGGAGGTTAGAGACAGCATCA